AGATAGAACGACCACGGCTCCCCTGACCTGGCTGACGGCAAGCTGACCCCGCCATCACCCCAGGGAAAGTGAGGCTCAGAGAGGGGAGGTGCCTACTCAAGGCTGCACAGCTCAGGAGCAGCAGGTGTGGGAGGGCAGGTCTCTGGTTTCTGGGGGGGATGAAGAGCTGGTGGGGGGCAGCTGCAGCAGAAATTTAGGCCCATTACTCAGCGAGAGCAGCTGGAGGTGATGACTTTCTCCACTGCTGGAGAAAGAACGCAATACCTCATTTTGTTGCACTTCGCAGATACTGTGTTTTTTACAAATTGGAGGTTTGTGGCAGGCCCAGCATCGAGCATGCCTATTGGCGCCGTTTTTTTCCAACCACATTTGCTCACCTCGTGTCTCTGCGTCACATTTTGGTCATTCTCACAATATTTCAAACGTTTTCATTGTATTATATTTGTCACAACGATCTGCGTTCGGTGATTATGAGTCACTGATGGCTCAGACGATGCTTAGCATTTTTTAGCAATAAAGTATTCTAAAATTAAGGCATGCCCAGTTTGTTGAGACATAACGTGATTGCACTTAATAGACTACAGTATAGCATAAAGGTAACTTTTCTATGTACCGGGAAACCAAAAAAAATCATTTGACTTGCTTTATTGAGATACTCACTCCATTGCAATGCTCGCTTTACTGCGGTGGTCTGGGACTAACCCCGCGGTGTTTCTGAGGTATACCTGTGCATGCTAACGTACACGGCATGATATAAACTGTGTAAATTCAGTGATTCCACGTAGAGGTCAAATGCTCTCATAGCTTTGTTTAAAACTGGCATTCGGGGGCACCCGGCTGGCTCAGTTGGAAGAGCATACGACTCTTGATCTCAGTGTCATGAGTTCGAGCCTGACGTTGGGTGCAGAGATGACTTGGCCTTGGCCTTGAGCAATATAAAGAAGAATGGTAAAGGTAAGAGAGCAAGATGCCACTTTAAATTTTAATTTTTCGTTACTTAGAACGACATCAAGTAGCAAATTGTTAAGAAACCACCATCTGGGGCGCCTGGGTGGCTCAGATGGTTAAGCGTCTGCCTTCGGCTCAGGTCATGATCTCAGGGTCCTGGGATCGAGTCCCGCATCGAGTTCCCTGCTCAGTGCAGAGCCTGCTTCTCCCTCTTCCTCTGCCACTCCCTCTGCTTGTGCTCTTCTGTCTATCTCTCTGTCAAATAAATAAATAAAATCTTTAAAAAAAAAAAAAGAAATCATCATCTGTTGGAAGACAGTGGAAGAAAGAAAAAAGTTTATTTCAATACCTTTAAAGACACATTTTTTCCTGCTTTTTTGAACAATGTGCACCCCGTTTTCATTCTGTAATTACAGAGCTGGTCCGGGCCCTGGGTGTGAACTATTCAGGGGCCAGGCAGGAAGAGAAGTGTGTCTTGTGCGGTTCTCTTTATTCCTTTACTTTTTTTTTTATAAAGATTTTATTTATTTACTTGAATGAGAGAGACAGCGAGAACAAGCCGGGGGGGGAGGGTCAGAGGGAGAGGGAGAAATAGATTCCCCGCTGAGCGGGGAGCCCCGTATGGGGTTCGATCCCAGGACCCTGGGGACAATGACCTGGGCTGAAGGCAGACACTCAACCGACTGAGCTGCCCACCCACGCCTCTGGAACTTGCACTCTTTTTTTAAGATTTTTTTTTTTAAGATTTTATTTATTTATTTGACAGAGACAGCAAGAGCAGGAACACAATCAGGGGGAGTGGGAGAGGGAGAAGCAGGCTTACCGCTGAGCAGAGAGCCCGATGTGGGACTCGATCCCAGGACTCTGGGATCATGACCTGAGCCGAAGGCAGACGCTTAACGACTGAGCCACCCAGGCGCCCTGGAACTTGCACTTTTTTTTTTTTTTTTTTAAGATTTTGTTTATTTGAGACAGAGAGAATGAGAGAGAGAGAGCGCGCACATGAGGGGGGGAGGGGCAGAGGGAGAAGCAGACTCCCTGCCGAGCAGGGAGCCGGATGCGGGACTCGATTCAGGATCATGACCTGAGCCGAAGGCAGTCGCTTAACCAACTGAGCCACCCAGGCACCCTGGAACTTGCACTCTTAACCACTAGGCTGAACAGCCGCTTTCTCTTGATTGCTTGGTTCTCTTTGGTTCTGGCTCAGATGGCCACCATTTAGGACGAAGCTGAGGGGAATTCATTAGGATGTTAGAGAACTCCTCTCATTTAAAAATGAAAAAGCAGAAGCCCAGAGAGGGGAAGAGACTTGCCTGTGGTCACGCAGCAACTCCTGACTCCCTGCGCTGGAGTGAAGAGTCTCCTAGGGGAGCAAACAGTCCCCACCCTGTCACCTGAAGGACACTTCCCTTCTGAGATCTCAAGGGGTCCCGGGCGGCAGCCTCGGGGGACCCTGCAGGCGAGGCCTCGGTGGTGAATTGGCAGTTGGTCCCAAGGGGACAGATGGGGGCTGCAGTCTGGCCCGCACTCGGCTGGCCCACCTCGTGGGTCTCGGGCCTGCCATTCAGGGGCCCCGGTTGAGGGGACAGAAATAGGCCATCTATGAGTGTTCCCAGGGCTCCGCTGAGCCCGGCCCACCGCCTCCAAGTGCGCAGGCATTCTCTGCTGATTTATTTTCCAGAGCAGGAAAGTGGATTTGAAATGCTCCTCCTGAATGTTTACCCCTGGGGGAATGTCGGGCTTATGAATAATGCAGCAAGTCAGGGGCTGGGGGGCCCGTAGGCTCTGTCCTGTCCCAGAAGTCGCCACCCGTGGGCCTGGGGCAGATGTCGCCCTGCCGCTTGCGACTCTGTGAGCTTGGGGGGGGAATCTCTGCGCCTCAGAGCCCCCAGCTACCAGTGGGGGTGCTGAGCCTCTCCTTGCCACGGGCGGCCCATGGATGCTGTCCTGTCCTTGCCACCTCGGCCTTCCCCTTGGGCATTGCTGTTCTTGCTCACAGCCTTTGACCAGCTCTCAGCGCCACCAGCCCTTCCTGGACGTGCACTTGAGCACGTTGACACGGACCAGAGCAGGGACTGAGGCTGGAGGGCACAGGCCGAGGGAGGGCCTGGTTCCACGGGGACGCAGCCAGGCCACCTCTCACCCCTGTCCCTGGGTTATCTTGGTGGGCTCTCTTGAAGGGGCCATTTTTTACGTCTGAGGCAGGCTGTCATCCCTGTTCCTACCCCGGGCTCTAGACTCACTTCTCCTGAGCAGAAAGGAAGGCCTCTGGGTGCTGGAAATGTCCCCTGTCCCCCAGGAACTCTGTGCCCTGCCCCTTAGCCCCCCGCCAAGACTCCCAGGCCACCCCTGAGTTCCTGTGGGACTGAGTCACCAGTCACACCAGCTTGGGTGTGGAAGGACCATCCTCTGGCCACCTCACCTCCCAGGTGGAAGTCATGCCACAACCTTGGAGTGCCCTCTGTTGGTGGGGCGACAGATGGTATCCCCCACACCCCCCAGGCTTCTAAGTGCTTGTGGCTGAGCCTAAAGCAGGAGTGATTTCAGTTAGATTTCAGCAGGGAGGGTTGTTGGGTGAATGGGTGAGCGAGTTCTCTGGAGAGGGTGGGTGGGCTTGGCCGGGGCGGGGGAGGGACCACGCCACCCCTCCTGGCACTCCCATCCCCCACCCCATCCCTCAAGCTCTGGGAGGCAGTGACCCCACGCTACTCTCTATCATAATATTTACCAACAGCGCTGCAATTGAGCCCAGCAGCTCAGCAATTATAATCATGTTATCATTATTGCTGATAATTCCGATCATAAGCATAAATTATAAACAGGAGTGGGCCACAGAGGGTAGGAGCAGGGGGCAGGGCCACCTCTGGGAGGCGTGTGTGTGTGTGTGGGGGGGTGAGACCCGCTCCCCCCGCCCTCACCGCCCCCCCCCCCCCCCCCCCCGGCTTCCACTCCCCTCCTGTTTCTGGCCAAGGCCAAGTCCCCTCCAGAGCCTGGCCCAGGGCTCCTGAGGGCCTCCGGGTGGCCTTTTCCTGCCAGGGTCCTGGGGTTGTCCTGACCACCGTGCACCAAGCCCCACTCTGCCTCACAGAAACTATTAAGGCGCAATTATTACCGAGCTAGGCTTTCCAAATTGATCTTTCAGTTACTCCACGGCTGCAGCCATGGAGACGGCCCCGACTCAATTACATGCCTCTCTCTGTTCCTGACAGATTCCAGCGGAGGAGAGTCAGAGGAGGAGGCACCGGAGCGGAGGCTCGAGGCAGGGAGGCGCACAGAGCAAGGGGTCCTGCTCAAGAGAGCTCCCTGCAAAGGCGGCGACTGACAGACGGAGGGGAACAGAGGGAGAGAAAACGGAGCTCAGCAATGCAGCTGGCAGCAGAGAGAGGAGCCCCGTGTCCGTTCATTCATTCCTTCATTCCGCAAACGTTTGTTCTGTGTGCTAGCCTGGGTGCCAGGGACGTGGAGGAGGGTGAGGATAAGGGTGAGTCAAACGGGGATCAAATCATCACCCACCCAATGTAAAATCAACCGGCCAGTACTCACGAGTGCCTGAGGGCTCTGGGAGCCTTGCTCAGGCCTGTGAGGTGGGGAGGGCTGAGACCAAGAGGATGAGGGGCTGGCCTGGCGGGGGGCAGGCAGGGCACTGGGTTCAGGACACCGTGCAAAGGCCGGCTTTCCTTCCATGATGCAAAAGCAAAGCTCTGACTCCAAGACCTGGGCAGATCCCTCCTTGAGGGGGCGGGGGGGGGGTACGGCAGGCTGGTAGGGGTAAAGGGGGACTCTTCCGCTGCAGGTGAGGGGCTGCAACAGGGCCCTGGGATCCCAGAAAATCCCAGGGCAAGAGAGAGATATTTTAGGAAGCGCTGAGGCCCTGGCCCAGTGGGCCTGTGGCATGGAGGCCGGAGGGGGCTGTCCAGTGGGTTCGCCATTCCCCATGGGGCGAGGGGCATGGCCTCAGCTCAGGTGGATACCCCTCTGGCTCACTCCTGATACGCCACCACGGCTGGTCCAGAGCCCCAGGTTCCGGTGCTGGGTCTGCGTGATACCCAGGACAGACATGGTACTTTGGTGTGGACCCTGGGCCCTCCCATCTCAGGGACAGGGCAACCAGCATTGTGGCACAAGGGGTGAGGCAGTGGGCCAATCCTGCGTGGCTGGGTTTGGTCGAATCACAGATAGCAGAGCTTGAACGGCACTCCCTCAACTTGAGTGTGTATCAGAAGAGCTAGGGGCTGTGTTCTGTAGGGCCAAGTCCCAGGCCTCCCTCCCAGCCCTCCAGGGTCTAAGCCAACACATCTCCGGGAAGGGCCTGGGCCTGGGCCTTTAACAAGCACACAAGATGAGGAAACTGAGCCCCGGGCTCCCCAAAGTCAGCAGTGAGCTGACCTCTCACATGACCCTTAGCCACTAGCCATGTATGAAAGTCTGTCTCGGCCGAACTGAGAGGTGTTCTAAGGGTAATACAGACACTGGATAGCAAAGACTTCGTCTAAGGCAAAGACCTATAAAACATCTCCATTTTTCAAGATATTATTACGTGTTGAAATGCATACCATTTGGACTGCATACATCGACTACAAGGCTGCATTGAGTAACATTTATTGTTGAAATTAATTTCACCTGTTTCTTCTTCACTTTTTAAAATTTTTTTTTTTTTAAAGATTTTATTGGGGCGCCTGGGTGGCTCAGTCGTTAGGCGTCTGCCTTCGGCTCAGGTCATGATCCCGGGGTCCTGGGATCAAGTACCACATCGGGCTCCCTGCTCCACGGGAAGCTTGCTTCTCCCTCTTCCACTCCCCCTGCTTGTGTTCCCTCTCTCGCTGTGTCTCTCTCTGTCAGATAAATAAATAAAATCTTTTTTAAAGATTTTTTTTTTAATTTATGGAGGCTGGAGGGGGCTGTCCAGTGGGTTCGCCATTCCCCATGGGGCCAGGGGCATGGCCTCAGCTCAGGTGGATACCCCGGGATCATGACCTGAGCCGAAGGCAGACGCCTAACGACTGAGCCACCCAGGCACCCCCACTTTTTTTTTTCAATGCAGCTACTAGGAAATTTAAAATTTCCGCTGTGGCACGCATTTGTGGCCCACATCCTATCTCTGTTGGTCAGACTACTCGACAGGGCCAAACCCTGGGGCCTGGGGGGCTGAGGCCGAAGGTCTGCCCATGCCCCGGTGGCAGACCTCCTAGCTTCCGGCCTTGGCTCGCCTGAAATCCCAAAGCGAGGGCTTTATTTTGTTGGGTCCAGAAGGCTAGGAGGACTCTAAGAGGTTCCTCTGCTGATCAGACACCCCAGTGAAAGAAATGAGTTTTGTCCTTAGCAGCCATGGACAGATTTGGGAATGAAAGGAGTTGCTGGTGGCCTGGGGGATGGCCCGTCTATGGGTGGGTCAGGGGAGGGGGGAGCTGGGTCACAGACTCAGGAGCCACCCCCACCCCCGAGCAAGCCCATCACCTACCCTCGGGTGCTATGTGGCCCCCATATCGCCTGAGCGTCCCAGCTAGGCTCCTGAGTCTACACCCGTCTTGTCCGCCCTTGTTGTATGGACCCTGCCCACTGCCTTCAAAGCCCATTTCCATACACTGAATCTTATTTTCCCTTTGATTTCCATGATGGAGCAGGAGATACCCTCTGAAGAGAAAAGCGAGTAGCTGGTTCCAGAAGCTGTTCGAGTCTTATTTTTAAAGGATGAATACTAATTATTAGAGAAAATCATTTCCTGAAAAGCCAAGGAAACCCATGGAGATGGTACAAAGGAGTGGCAGGTTGGGGATCGGGAGTCCTGAGGTCCGCCCCCCGACACCCACCGCGGGGCTGCTGTGAGCCGGTCCTTCCCTCTCTGTAATGCGGGCTGCTTACCTGTAAGATGAAAGTGCTTGGGTTCACTGTCCTCACCTTTGGCCCCCGTGGTCATGTCTAGGGTAGCATAGTCCCAGGCTCCCCAGAGGCTTGCCCCATGTTAAGGGTTACCTTTTTGGGGGCAGCGGGGCTGTCCCTCTATCTGTTCCCTGATCCCCTGGAGTCTTAATCTCCAAGGAGCCAGGAGAAGTGGTCCAGAATCTTGGGAAAGGAAATGACGCACGCAGGTCAGGGACCCAGGACTGGGGCATGGGGGCTGAGTCCCTGTGGGCAGCTCTCCCTGCTGTCCGTCTGCTGGTCGGAGACCCTGGAGCACATGAACTGGGTCAGGAGGGATAGACCAGCTCCTGACAGGGAGTCCCTGGATGGACGGGGATACAGGACACCCCGGGGACATGCTCACTTCCACAAATGCCCTGGCATCTTGCATCCCCATCTGTGAAATGGGGATTGACAGGCCCACCTGCTGGGAGGGTCCTCGGGAAGATGACAAGCATGGAAGAGGCTTTGTGATGGAGGGAGTCCTACGGCTTCGAGGTTGATAAGGGGAAGGCAGTGAGTGGAGCCTGTTTCCAGGTCTGTGCAGTATGGGGGATGCGGCCAGGCCTGAGGAAAGACAAGGTATGGCCAGTGCAAATGTGCATGCACCAGTCTCTACCCCAAGCATTCTTCCCGTGTCGTATGTCCTTCAGTCCTCATAGCCATCGTACAGAGAAAGGACTATCTTGTCTCCATATTATGGATGAGGAAGCTCAGGCCCAGAGAGGTCAATCGACTCGGCCCAGAAGACACAGTCAGCGAACGTGAAGCCTGGATGTCACACATAGTGGAGCGAGAGACCTAGACATGCAGGGCCTTAGCCAAGGCCTTCTGCTGTACCACACTGCCCCCAGTCTGCCTGAGCAAGGTGGGGCTCAGGCTGGCTGTTCTGGACTAGAAGAGCAGCCCCGAGCCTGGAAGAGAGCGTGGAGCCCCAGCACTCCACTCGCATTATTGCTGCTCTGGATTCTGCCTGCAGAGGGCAGTACTGAGCACACACGGGTGCTCCCTCCCCAGCCAGGGCTCAGCTCCCTGGGGAAGGAGGGGGTGGTGGCCCTGGGCTGCAGAGGCTTCTGGTTCTCTGCTCCAGGACTTGGGGTCTGGAAAGCATTCTCCCTAGAAACCGACAGCCCAACCAGCCGGCCCTTCTGGGGACCGGCGTGCCCCAGCTGGGCCCACGGAGGCCACGTCTTACCTCCAACACCTCATGGGCCGCTGCAGGTGGGATGGAGGGACCGTAGGCTAGTGGGATGAACCAGGGCTACCGAGACAGAGCCAGCCACGCCATGCACATGCTGTATGTCCCTAAGCAAGTCACTTCCCTTCATCGTAAAAGGAGGCCAACACAAGACACCCCCAAGCCTTAGTGATGCTTAAAAAAGAGTGCCCATCATCACTGTCATCCACCATGGGGCCACACTTCAGTTTACTGAGAGGCTGCAAAAAAGGGGGGGATGGAGGTGCAGGGAGGTGAAGTGTCTTGCCCAAGGTCACCTGGTGCTAAGAGGAAGAGCCAGGATTTGTACCCACACAGTCTCTAGGTCCTAGCTCTTCCCCTCGGTGATGTTGCCACACCTGGGCCAGCAGAGGGCAGGTGGGGATGTGGGTCTAAGGCGGGGCCACACAACAGGGTGTCAAGGTGTCTCCAGGCCTCCTGGTGATGGCGGGGATAGGGAGATACCCCCAAGAAGGTAAAGGGCAGTGCGGGATGGAGGCATCGTGGCCTCATTCTCAGTCCCCACTCCTCTGGCCAACGCCGTGGGCAAGGTATTCAGTGGGCACCCGGGGCCCCTCTGGGCTTGGCTTTCGGCTGTGCACTGTGGACCTGCCCTGCCCAGGAGGAGTTCTGTCCGATGGACTTGTGGGCTAGAGCTGGTCGGCCAAGTTGATCCTTTGCCGAAGTGCCCGCTCTGTGCCCAGCAGGGTCGCAGGAGGCTGGGCAAAGACCTCGTGGGCTTTGCTGGGATCTGGAAGATTCTCAATCTCTATTTGGCTCTCTCCATCTAGGCCAGGAGCTTCGTGGGGTTGGGCCTGCCTGGCTTCTGTCCCTCCCAGGGGTGCCCAGCATAGCAAGGGCCTAGCACAGGACTCAGGGCAGCACTCCTTGTGCTGAATTAAGATGCATGGCTCTGGACAGGATGGGAAGTGTGCTCCCTGGTTCCATAGGAAGGCCGGTATGGTGGGGATGGTAAGGGAAGCGGGCGGCAAAAGCCCGAGTCCGGCGACCAGAAGGAGGGCTGCCCAGACAAGACGGGCCTTGGCGCCTCCGGTTGGATCTGCTGCGACCTTGGGCATACCACTGCCTTCCTTCACACCCCCGGGGACAAAGGCTGAAAGAGGTACCTGGACCAGCCACCGGAAGCTAACCTGGGCAAGGTGGGAGTGACCCGCCAGCCGACTTCAGTTCTCCAGCCGCCGCCGCGCCCGCGCCCAGGCGCTGGCCTCTGCTCCCGGGTGCCTCCCCGCGCCCTCCGAGTGACCTTGACCCCGCGCCCGGCCCCCCCCCCCCTCCGCGCCCCGGCTTCCTAATCCGCCCCCGACAGGGCGCTGGGGAGGCGGAGGGGCGTCGCCGGGCAGCCAGGGGGCGCCGAGGCCGCGGGCGCCCCTCCCGCAGGCCCCCCTGGCGGCGGGCGCTGGGGCGGCGCGCGCTCGGGGCGCCGGGGGCGGGGCGGGGGGCGCGGCGCTCCCCCCGCGGTGCCCAGGCCGGGGCGCGGGGCGGGTCGGGCGGGCTAATCCCGTATGTAAATGGCAGCCAATGGAGGGTGGTGTTGCGCGGGGCTGGGATTAGGGCCGGGGCGAATGGCTGGCAATCTTACTGGGATTACAGAACAAAGAGCCTCCCTGCGCTCCCGCTCTCGGCTCCGCGCCCCGCGCCGCGCCCCGCCCTCCGCCGCAGCCCGCGCCGGGGGTGGGGGCCGCCGAGCGCCAGCCCCCCGGCCGGCCCGAGAGCCCCCGCCGCGGCCCCTCCCCGGCCGGCGCCCCGCGCCCCGCGCCCCCCGCCCCCCCGTCGCGCCGCGCCGCGCCGCGCCTCCCTCCGCCGCGCCTTCCCCCATTCTCCCGGATTAATTAAGGAGGCGGCGGCAGGAGGCTGAGTCCTGGCCGCGGGCCGGGGCCGGGGCGACGCTGGCAGGAGCGCTTGGGGATCCTCCAAGGTAGGAGAAACTTTTGCGGGGGGCGGGCGCCGAGGCCCTTCTCCCCTTCTCCTCCCACCCCCGTGGCCCCCGCCCCTCCCCCTCAAGGTGTTCCAGAATCTGGGTCCGGCTTTTGGGTGCCTGGGGAGGCACGTGACTGGGATTATAATTCGGGCCGGGGGGGGCGGCGGAGGGAGGGCCGGCCGCCCCCACCTGCCGGGAGGGGGGGGGAGCCGGGAGCTGTCACCCCCGGCCCTCGCGGAGGTGGGGGGCGCCCCGGGGCGGGCGACGGGCGCCCGCAGGCTGCTGCAGTTGGCGAATGAGGTCAGTCGTGCTGCCCGCGGCGGCGGGCGCCAGTGTGGGAGCAGAGGGGGCTGGGAAGGCCGCGGGTCCCCGCCCCCCCCACCTCTGCCTTCTTCGGGCTGGGCCATCTCCTGGCCCGTGCCCCTCACTCGCAGGCTGAGTCCAACACAGCCAGGACTGCCCCGGCACAGTGGTTCCTGTCGGGGTACCCCGGGAGGGGGCCGGCCTGAGTGGTGGCAGCTGAACCTCTGGAGGAGGGCGGGGAAGAGTCTCAGAGGTTGGCAGTGGGGGCCACCAAGCTTCCGGGAGAGCAAGTTGGGGGTGCCGCGCATGTGGGTGGTCTCTGAGTTCCTGCACATGGGCAGGGAGGCCTGTGGAGCGCCCCAGGGTGCTTGATGCCCACCCCCCCATCCTGAGTCCCTGGAAATGATGGGCTTGATGCCTCTCCTGGGCTCCAGCCCCGGCCTGTGACCAGGGAGAGGGACGATGCCCTGGCCTGGGCCCAGGGCAGAGGGGGGAAGCTTGCAGCTGAGAGTTCTGCCCTCCTGGCGGTGCTGGAGCCCTGGACGTCTGGCCATGTGACCCAGCCCCCCAGGACCAGAGCTGGGGTGGGAGGCTCCTGTGTCCCCGTCGCAGCCCAAGTGAGGGGCTCTCCATGCCAGGCCCGCAGGGGGAAGCGCCGGCCTTGGATGGAGTGTGGTACTGGTGATACGGGGCGTGGGCCTGCCCTGGGCCCAGGAGCTGGAGTGAGCGGCAGGCGAGGACAGTTAGAGGAGTGGGCGTTTGCGCCCAGTGGGAGGAAGGGGCGGCCAGAAGCCGCTCTGACCTCCTCTGGCGGGATTTGGTTGCCCCGTGCCTGGGACTGTTTGCTCCTCGGCACTGCCCGGGTCTTCGGGGCTTGGGAGGTGCCTTTCCAAGCAGCCATTTATTTCAGCAGCGTCATTCCCAAAGGGAAAGGGCACGGGCATTGATGGTTTATTCGGGGCAAGAGGTGGCCGTGACTGGGAGGCTGGTGGCTGTTGGTGGGGAAGGTCTGGGCGCAGGGGTGGCAGCGATGGGGGTGGTCCGGTGCCCATCACGAGCCACCCACGGCGGGAAGGAGCCCAGGAGGCTGCGAGATAGCCTCTCACCTCTTCTGAACAGGGAGCGCTGGACCAAGGGACAGACCTGGCTCCAAGGTGACAGGATGTCGGAATCCCCGACCTGCTTTGGGGATGCGAGAGGCTTAAGACCACACCCCATTCCGTAGCCTGCTCCATGAGTGACCTAGAAAGTTGAGGCTCTGACTCAGAGGGTCCCAGAGCACCCCAGCAGAGGAACCAAGCAAAGGTGGGAACTCTGCGGCCACTCGCTGCCCACACATTTAAAATGTGGGAGACCTGGGGCCGAAGGTTGCAAAACTGGGTCTCGAAGACAGCGTTGGAGGGGCATGCTTGACCTACTTAAGGGCACTGTTCTCTAGGTGCTGGAGGAAGGGTCATTTACGTGCAGCGTGTTAATCACAAATACTTTTTATCTCTTCTTTGGAGGCAGTCTCCCAGAGCCAGGCTAGCCTTCCAACGCAGCGGTCGGTGCTTGGAACTAGTCGGCAAGGCAGACATAATGATAGGGGTCTCGGAGGCAGTTGTTCCAGAAGCCTGTCTCCAGCAGCCAGGGCCTGCACAGTTGGGTGGCAGCCGGCTTGTCAGAAACCCCAGATGAGGATCTCAGGGTGATGTGGTGGGTGACGCCTCGGGGCGTTCGCATCCTCAGTGGGACCTTGGAGGCACAGGCCGTGTCTCCTGGGCCCTCCCCGTTCTGGGTTTGGGTTCGGGTTCATCTGCGCCGGCTGTCCTCTGTCCACCCACGGCCTCCTCAACTGGCTCTGGCTCGTTGAATGCCGCAGTTTTCCTGAATGGCCTTTGCATGGGCTGTTCCTTTTCCCTGGAAGGTTCTTCCCATCTTTCCCCCGAGGGGGTGGGAGACTTCCTCCGATGGCCCGACCTGGCTAGCATGAGGGGTAAGGGTGGCAGGACTTGCCCCTTTCGTCTCCTCTCTTTGAAGACTCCACCGGCTGTCGTGTCCTCGGGCTGGAATCCCAGGGCCGGCCAAGGTGTACCCCCATGATGTCCTGTCCTTCCTCTGTCCCAGTGTTGATCTCACTCAAAAGTTCCACATCTGTCTCCCCAAGTGCACTAGGGACAGGGCAGGGACCGAGGCTTGCTTTGGATTCCCTGGTGCCCCGGGGCTGGTACCCGAATGCTCGTCGAATGGCTACTTGAGGGAACGAATGAAGTGGTCCACATTGCTAAGCAGCTCCTCCCCTTATTCCTGAATCCCCATCTCTGGGGAAGGGCCCCCACACAATGGGGAGAATCCCAGGGTCTTCCCCTGAGCTTCCTGCTCCCCATCCTCCCATTACTGCAGCTGTCTTCCCCTCACACCCGAGCCTGGGGCTCTGCTCCCTGGATGTCCTCTGTCCTGCTTCTCTCAGTCCTCCGACTCTTGGCCGTTTGGGGGTTTCTCTGTGATGGCTCACAGCCGGGTTCTGTGGGACAAGCAGGAAAGTGTGCCCAGCTCTGTGGGCCTGCGGAGGGACTGCAGGGTTAATTCACAAACACTGGGGAGCGGAGCGGGACTCGGGGCCAGGGGCTCGGAACCTTCTGGGAGGATGTGGGGCCCAGGAGACGTGGACCCTTGGGGCAACTGCAAGGGAAATCCCAGCAGGAACTCCTAAGCGGGGGCGGAGCGGTGGAAGGATTGTTTTCTGTGGGAGAACTGGAGGAGATGAAAATGGTTATAAGGCAATGAGATGCTCCCCATCCTGCTGCAGGGTGACAATGGAGACTTCTGTGTGTAGGTGGTGGGGTGTCCAGGCGGGGCCCGAGGGGAGCCGGCTCCCTCACTTGGCTCCCGGGTCCCTCGTTGGCAGGCGTGTCTGGCTGGGATTCTGTGATCCTCATGCGCACCAGGGTAGATGCTCTGTCATTTCAGGCTCAGGGCTATGGGGTTATGGCTGATGACAACCAAGGGGCACAGAGCCCCAGGGAAGGGGGTGTGAGGGGGCTGAGCCCTCGTTCACTTTGTGGGGAGTTACATTTGCTGAATGAGCTGAGTGAGGCTGTACTTTGTCCCTTCCTGGGCTTGGGATGACTGGTGGGGGTGTCTCAGGCAGAACTCTTGCTCCTGAACCCCTTCCTCTTGGTCCGGAGCTGGGCCTGGCCAACCCAGAGCTATTTGTGCATCCCCCGTCTCCCTCCTTCAGGACGACCTGCTTCTGGTTGCCAGATCTGGCTAATAAAAATAGGGATTCCCCAGTTAAATTTGGATTTCAGATAAGCCACGGATAATGCAGGATTGAGGACGTAACTTATACTAAAGACTTACTTGTTTGTTTCTCTGAAGCTGAACTGGGGTCTTGTATTTTTTTTTTTTTAAGATTTTATTTATTTATTTGACAGAGAGAGACAGCAAGAGAGGGAACATAAGCAGGGGGAGTGGGAAAAGGAGAAGCAGGCTTCCCGCCGAGCAGGGAGCCGGACGCGGGGCTCGATCCCAGGACCCTGGGATCATGACCTGAGCCGAAGGCAGACGCTTAACGACTGAGCCACCCAGGCGCCCCTAGGGTCTTGTATTTTATCTGTCAGCCCTACAGCTATGACCTCTGGGTGACGGGACTGTTGGGGACTGGGGAGAGGCTCAACCTAAAGCTCCCGGGATGGTCTGGGTGAGTTCGAATCAGGTAGCGCTGAATCCAGTTTCCTTGGTCCGGCTTTCTCTAGTCCGGATCCCCTGTTAGGCTTGGGTGGTGTGGGGGACTCAGGGATCCCCAGTCTGGGAAGCTCTGGTTTTCAGAGATTTCCGTGCCACTGTGGCAGGAGGGGGAGGGGAACGGGAGTTATGGGGTACACCGGAGCAGACGCCCGAGTTAGGATTTGCAGTCAAGGTGTGCAGAGCCAGGCCTGAGCACTGGGAGGCCGTCGGTCTGATGTCCTCCCCTGCAAGGCTTGGAGATCCAGCCTCGGGGGCTGGGGGGGGCTGGTAGGGGAGGATGTTCGCTGGGTTGGGTCACAGGCGTGAGGGGCAGTCCCCGTGGAGTCCACTGCATACAGCCATCCGAGGTAGCCCCCAGCCCCTGTGCTGAGCTGAGACCCCGGGAATGTGGACTGGCTACAGCCGGGATAGCCCCCAAGTCCAGGCTGTGTGCTCACCTGTGGAATGCAGCGGATACCCCCCATCCTGCCTGAGCCTCAGGTGCTGTGATTGGGGCGGGGGGGACGCTTCTAGAGCGTGGATATGTGGGTCACCCCAGTGCAGGCCTAGAGTGGAGACAGTGTGGGAAGCCAGAGGTGAGTGGTCCTGGCTCAGGGGCTTGGGGTCCTGGGCAGCTTGCAGGTGCCCAGCAAGGCTGTGTAGTTGGGGATGGAGAGCCTGAGCCTGTAGCTGGAGGCGGGTAGCTGGAGGTATAGCCCTCAGGTGGCTTCTCTCCTGGAGGCTTGGACGGGGCCAGACCTGTTTGCCGATTGGGGTGTGTGGGGGGGCGGGTTTCAAGGTTCATTTTCTGGCTTCTGGCAGAACCACCATAGAGGGGAGTCTATATCTGTCCATCAGTCTGTCAGTCCACCAGCCAGTAAGAAACTTAACAGATATCACCCCCTTCCCCCTGCCCTGGGTCTGCGGGGTCTCAGGCCCTGGCGTCCGGCCCCAGGCCTGCACGTAGGAGGGGCTCACCCCATACG